AGAAGTGGCAATCAGAGTCAGCGAGGGGTTATTGCCGATAATGTCGTAGAATTCCTCATCGTAGACGTGGAATGGCTTCGCCTTGAGAGACTCCTGGGTGACACCAGGCCAGAGGAACGTCTAATATTATGTTAGTCTCGGACTGATGAACATCGCGCATTGAGACTCACGGTAGTGGCATTAGCCTCAGAAGGAGGAAGCACCTCCTCCAGGACGTTGAAGCTCTTTTGATCGATGATCTGAGCAGCCTCTGGCAAGGTTCTGTTCGACTGCGCACGAACACCCGCGAGAAGGCCAAGACCGTTGAGCAGGGCAAGGCCGGAAGCAAGTCTAGAGGAAGTCATGTTGTTGACGAGTTCTTGGCTGGGCTGGGAACGTAACCTCTCGGGGCCGGAAGTCTTGGCCAGATCGATCCGACCTGGGAGCTTTTATAAACGGCTGCCAAGATGACGAGCTCCGTGAGCCCGCAATGCCGAGCCTTCCCAGCCATCACGACCGGGGCCTGAGGGGTAGAGGGCGGGCATCTCGCTTGACTGTCGATCTCTCGACCAAGCATCCGGACGAAGACCGGAGCAGGGAACATGGCCAGTCGACGACTGAACCCGATGGGCCGAGCGGCAGTTGTCCGCTCACCTTCCGGAGCTATTACGTGTGTGCATATCCGCTTTCTCAACGGTCTAGAACAGGGGTTTGGCCGATGTCACATGACGCAATGTGGGTGGAAAGGGGAAGACGCAGGATGCAGGATGCAGAACGGATTTTGAGTGCGGGGTGCGGGGTCTGGGGAAAAATTCCGAGTGAGCAATCGGAGATGTTTCTCTTCTTTGCGATTCACCAACCACTGCTTGAAATTGACATTCCGGACTGAGATAGTCTTCTCCAAGTAGGTATCAAGCTGAACAGAAAAAGGAGTTCAGGAAAAAGACTCAGATCCCACCTTGCTGGGTTGCCAAGCCCAGCTAACCTCAAAAGCCTCAGTTGTATCCAAGCGGACATCAATAGCGGAGTGCAGCACCAATTGACAAGCGGGGTGCGACCCAACGCCAAGACGACAAATCCAGCGGTGTCGCTCGTAATTCCGAACGACTGAAGCAAACACCTAGATCTTCACATCACACAGATTGCAGGTCTTTTTTCTTAAATCGTTTCCCAAAGACTGTGCGCAGGAGATCGATTGGAACGCCAAGTCCCATGATCCTACAAGGCCAGCTTGGTGTTGAAGCTGCTTTCCACCCAACCCCTGTCACAAGCTCACAGCTCCCCCAACCGCCCGCATCAAGCCCATGTCCGGATAAGATCAGCGGTATCCGTTGGGGAGGAGCTTAAGCGGATAAGCTATGCGAATCGGAAAATTACGAAAATTGAAGTGACACTGGTCTATAAACCTCGGCCCGGGCCTTGTCGCTATATGTTTCGGTGTGGTCTGTCACCGCGATGGTGAGTGTACCCACGTGGGATGCCGGCCATTCTTTCCAGCTGGCAGAGACCTCTGGGGAGTCTTTGTACCTGCCAAGATAGGGCTGACCAGTTGTATCTGCATCTCTCATAGTGAGAACCCCATTACAAGGTGGATCTGTCAACTTCTTTCCGTTGTAAGGTCGAGTTGAGTCGAGCTTATACTTGTTACCTCGCCATTTATATGCAGCGGCCTCAAGACGTGCCGAACCTCATGACAATGGAATGAGCTTTGAAAGGCTTCGTCCAACTCATCTGAAATGAAAAGATGAGTATGGTCGGTAAATATGTGAATCTAGCATCTTCATCATTCAGTGCTTGCAGTTCAAGCAGCACGGGTAACCCAAACGCCTTCAATCTACAATGAGCAAATTATATGAGGTACATGCGGGTCCTGATGACAGTGCAATTGGCTCTTCACCTCTTATAATCCTCCAGCTGTTACTGATCTCAACTATCTCGTCACAACCCTCGACGGCCCATGCCCATTTCTTGAGAAAGCCAGGGGTTGCCTCCCAGTTCCGCTTATCATGGCAACGAATCCGTTCCTTCCGGCTGATGGATCATCTGCAGCTTCCTCTTCGACCAAAGGACAACTTGATGATGATAAACTACCGCCGTTCTCACGGGGCTTAGCCGCAGCTGCGCGAATCACTGACCCCAGGAGATCCCGAAGGAATCCGTTGTGATCGAAAAAGGCCTCCCAGCGAATTAGATTATCCCGCAATCGTGCAAATGGGATCACATTGATCCAAAAGCTGTGAGTGTCTGTTGCCTGAACCGGAGTTGGGTGGAGAGATTTGGGCATGTTGGGATTGATTTGGTGTATGGTTGACGTGATCGTGCAACGCATGTCGCCTTGGTAGATTACCGGCGGGGCGAGCCATCCATCTTTGGGAAGATTCCGAGGAGATGCTATTGCCGTTGTCACATCGAGAAGATTTGCGTTAGATACAAAAGCTCGGAAAACGTTATGTTCAATAAGATGGAGCAAGAGATCCGCGTAGAGTGTTGTAGCGAAGGCTTGGGACGAATCAAGCCTCACCGAGAAAGCGTCACGGTCAGTCTCGTCAAGAGTTATGACCTCAACGTCTAATGACTGCTCTCGCGAACAAATACCCAAGTCCGTAGGCTGCCTCGGAGGGGTTTCCAGCTCTTCTAATGAGGACGTTATCGCCTGATATGGCTGTGCATCATCCCCCAATCGCCAGCGATCAACTCGGAATGGTCGTCGGCTTAGGGTAGCATTGGCAGCACTTGTTTTGAGACGTTGCCCTACAGCTACCGGTCAGCGCCGCCATTGTGATTTCGGATGAGTTCTAGATCCCAACTCGAGCATGCCAGCCGACTTACTGCGTGCTCTTTGGTTTAATCGGTTCTGTACTCTCTTTCTCTGTTTCCTGTCTTCCGCGGTTTGCGCGCTTCCCGCGGTGGGCTGATTATCAAGCGAACTCATCACTGCGTCGGGAACGACAGCAGCCGGGCTAGACTCTCTCTAGAATCGGAATCTCAGCTTGTCCTTCAGTTTCATCAAAATGTTGATGAAGCTGGCGATATGATGGGGATCAGGCAAGCCGAAAAGGGGAAAAACGGTCAGCTAGGTTTGTCAGCGACAACGTGACGCGGCGGGCGGAGTGCAGGCCGGAGCCCGGCTCGCCCGAAACGGCAATTCAAGTCAGTCGGTTTGTCAGAACTCCGCTGTGGAAGCTTGGCAACGTTATCACGAACGGCGACCTGGACCCACAGCATCCGCTCTTTAAGCTTTAAACGGCAGTTTAGGTCAGCCATGTTGCTGTGAAAATGTCACTGCCGCCTTGGCATCTGAAGAAGCCCGATGTCAACCCGAGTTCTTCGTTATGCTCGTTGATTCGAAGGGCATGTTTCTGCAAGAGGAGAAGGGAAAGACTGGAGACAATGGTGGATTCCCCGGGGATAACGGGCGGACTTTGCGCGATTCATGTAAGAAGACTGGCCCTGGGTACCGTATGCTCAACTTCACCAAGCCTTGAAACTTCGGACGGTTTGCTAATCAAGAATGAACAACTCTGTGGGGAAAGAAGTTTGGAACTTGGTGATGTGTATCGTGTGGGGGCCTTGGAGACTTCATCTCAATAATGCCTCTATCTGGGCGCGCCTATAAAGACAGTTCATAGCCAAACCTTCACCTTGAATTCCAGACTATCATCATCAGCAATAAGAAAAATCACATTACTTGTCCGGAACTCTCGTCGAAGAACGTTCTAACCACACAAAAATCAGTCAAAGCTTCCAATATGTCCCGCTACGCCGAAGCCCACGCCGACCCCCAGGGAGCAGGTGACGCCCGACCGACGGCCTTGCAAATCATCAAAGACGAAGGACTGGAAGGCAAGCTCGGCGGAAAGGTCTTCGTCATCACGGGAACTTCATCAGGCATCGGCATTGAGACCGTCCGTGCCATCGCAGCCACCGGCGCGAAGCTGTTCCTCACCGCGAGGAACGTAGCCAAGGCGAAGACTGCCCTCGCTGACACCCTTGACCCATCTCGCATGGAGATCGTTCAGATGGACCAAGGATCTTTGGACTCCGTCCGTGCTGCCGCTGCGGCCATCCTCTCCAAGACCGACAAGGTCAATGTCCTCATCAACAACGCCGGCATCGCGGCCATCCAAGCTCTCGAGTTCACCAAGGACGGCCACGAGATGCAATTCGGCACCAACCACCTCTCTCACTTCCTCTTCTTCCAGCTCTTGAGGCCGGCTCTCCTGGCGGCATCGACCCCAGAGTTCCCCTCTCGCGTCGTCAACGTTGCTTCCGCTGGCCACCGATTCAAGGGCATTAACGCGTCCGATAACTACAACTTCCAGAAGGGAGGCTACGAGCCGATGATGTCGTACGCCCAGTCCAAGACTGCCAACATCTACATGGCCAACGAGATCGAGCGGCGCTACGGGTCTCGCGGCCTGCACGCGACGAGTCTCCACCCTGGTGTCATTGACACGCCGCTCTCTGTCAACTTCCCCAAGGCGGAGATTGATGCTTTGTTGAGCAACCCCGAGATGAAGAAGCAGATGAAGTCCCCGGAGCAGGGGGCAGCGACTACGGTGCTGGCTGCCGTTGGCAAGGAATGGGCCAACAAGGGAGGTAGATACCTCACCAACTGCACAGAGGCGATCCCTGAGGTTGAGGGATGCGGCCAGTTTGACAGTGAATACCATGCCTCGTGGGCATACGATGAGGAGAGCGAGGGACGACTGTGGAGAGATTCGTTGAAGCTTGTTGGTCTCGAAGACAAAGAATGAGGTGAAAGCGTCCTTGTCAGGCACCTACGTATATGTCAAGATATTTGTGACAGACCCATACTCTACATACATGTTGAGCAGCATAGATGAGTCTGAATAGATCTCTGTTACCTCATAAAGTTTAAGAGCTTTCGTAAGACCAGCATGTTGCGATTAATCCATCAGCAGCGGATCCTCTTTCGCTAGCGGCTGTCTCCATCCCCGACTGTTCTTGGTGGACCTCGCAGCACGGTTCTGACATCGTGTTGCCTAATCAGGCATGTGGGCAATCTGGCCGAGCGGTCTAAGGCGCCAGACTCAAGCGTTCGCTTCATCCTCCAAGAGGATAGCATTCTGGTCTCGAAAGAGGCACGAGTTCGAATCTCGTGGTTGTCATGATTTATTTTTGCTCGTTGTTGCTTTGAAGAAGGTAAAGCTTGTCTTTGTGAATCCCCACTCCAGATAAAGTGAGTGCCAGAACGAGCACCTATGACAGAGCCGGCTGGGAGCAGTGGAAGCTCGATTGTATGATCCAAATCTACCGTTAATTCGTTGAAACCCAGTGTAAAGAAAATCCCAATTCTATGATTCCCGCATTTTTGTTTTGCAAGTTTTCCAAGTCTAACCAAAGCTCCCATTCATCATTGTCCAGATCAAACGCAAAATCAACAGTCAGGTACACTGACTGGGATGTTAAATGGCACGCTCGTCGCCAGACCACTCAAACTGGTCTCCTTGAACTCATTTCTCATTCCCTTGGCGGTCAGACGCATCGCGCGGATGGCGTCGTCCAACCTGACCTTCTGCGTGCCCGTCTCGCTGCTCAGAGCAAGGTTGGCGCTGGAAATGGCCTTGATGGCACCCAGAGCGTTACGCTCGATGCACGGCGCCTGCACGAGACCGCCAATGGGATCGCACGTCAAACCAAGATTGTGCTCGATGCCGATCTCTGCAGCTTGCTCGATGGCCTCGGGGCTCGCGCCCATACACGCCGCAAATGCGCCTGCCGCCATGGAACAAGCCACGCCGACCTCTGCCATGCATCCGCCCTCGGCCGCCGAGATGGTCGCGCCGCGCTTGTAGAGCATGCCGATGGCAGCGGCGGTCAGGAGGAACGTCGGGATATCCCGCTCCGGGTCGTCGCTGATGAACTCGATGGTGTACTTCAGCACGGCAGGGATGATACCGGCTGCGCCGTTGGTGGGCGCCGTCACGATGCGACCGCCCGCTGCGTTAGTCTCATTGACCGCGATGGCGTAGACCGTGAGATAGTCCATCGTGGGGAACGTAGTCCGGCGCGAGGGAGACGGGGTGATGGGGTGGTCGAGGGAGCCCAGCACGCGCGGAGGCGACCTTCGGCCCGGGCCGAGGCCGACGCTCGTCTTCGACTTGCTGTCGCCAATCGTCGCAGGGGTCTTGTTGGATGCCGCCAAACCTGAGGAACCAATGAACTGGATGTTCTTGCCGTCGCTCTTTTGCTCATTGGGGTTGGGCGACGTCTGGCCGGCGGTGGAATACAAGCCTCGGGTCAGTCTCCGATAGAGTGCGGGTGCGCGCCGATGGAGCTTCAGGGACCCCGGCAGCTTGGTGTCGAGCGGCGCCTGCACGCTCTCCAAGATGCTGGTGTCCATCACCTGCCAGATCTTGAAGAGCTTGTGGTAGATTTCCTCATCCGTGTAGCCGTGGCTCTTTTCATTTTCGTAGACGAGCTGGGCAATTGTGAGGTTGTGCTTGCGACACAGCGAGAGCAAGCTCGTTGCGTCTCGGAACGGGTACCGAGGGCCCTGGCTGCCCGACTCGCTCGTATTCTCGGGGTTTTCTGAGATGTTGACACCATTTCCCTCAGATGCAACCGGTGACAGGCTGTCTGATGAGTTCCCCAAAAGAGCCGTGTCGTCCGTTACTTCGGGCCTGACTTCGGCGCCCGTCCGACGGTCTCCCGCGGCATCGGATCGTCTGATCTCCTTGTAGAAGAGGTTCTCTGCCAGATCCACCGGATGTCTACCAGCAGTATCTTCTGATGACGGGTCGGGCGAGTCCACGCGGGCAACGGACGATGAGGATGAGGATGAGACGTCGGGGTTGATTGACAAGGCGCCGTTGACAACGAAGCCACCGCCAACGCTGAACATGTCGTTGGTTGCCAAAACATAGCCATCCGCATCAAATACTGTGAAGCGCATGCCGTTGCTGTGTGTTGGCAGCTTGCGGCCCCATTCCCAAACGAAGTCACGCTCGTAGTCGAAGTCAACCTCCTTACCCTTGCCGTCTGCCAGTCCGTGCCCTAGGAATAACTTCTTCGTGTTCTTGATCTCAGTGAACCTCTCCGGAACGTAGGCCGTCTCGACCGTCTCAACGTCCGCGCTCTCGAGACCGAGCAACAGCGCAGAGGGTGTCATGTGGCCCTCGCCGGTGAGCGCCAGACTGCCATAAATGGAAACCCGAATCTTGTTGACCTTGTTCAAGAGATTCGCCTCTGCCAAATCAGCAACAAAAATGTTGCCAGCACGCATCGGACCGACGGTGTGAGAAGATGACGGGCCGATGCCGATGGAGAACAGGTCAAAGGTTGAGATGACGGCATGCTCGTGGTCGGCCTCGCTGTAACTCCCCGTCTCCTCTTCATCCTCGGCAGCATTGCGCCTTCGAGCTGTGCTGCTCAAAAATCGCTGCGATTGAATGCCCAAACATCCCGTAGACCGGATTGGCCTCGCCGCGTGTCGTGATATCTTCGTGTTGAGAGTCGAGGGAGCTCGGCAGCCAGCGATGAAAGTGCTCTGTCCAGCCCGCGTTAAAGCGCGTTGAGCCGGCGCCCCACGTAGCAGGGCGAGCTGCCGGATCGATGAACAGCTCATCGCTCTCCCAAGAATCAACAACGGCGGACGGAAGAGTATCAATGGCGGACTGACTTTATGTATGGAAGAAGACACGAAGAGCTGATGGACAAAAAAAGAACTTTATTGTGACAGAAGGCGGTCTGGGGTACGCCTGGGAGATAAGAGCAGAGCTCTCCCTGGATCTGTGCTGGATCTGGGGTAAGACAAGCAATCAGCCCCAGAAATCCTGACTCTGACCAATCATCCCGCCGGAATTGGTCAACCCTTGTGAGGTGTGCTTGATATGGACAGATGATACGTAATAGTCTGCTCGTTTTATATGGAAAGAAAAACCTTGATGAACTCATGACAGTTTCAGCGACGTTGAGCCCACGCGCCTGCGGGCCATGCAGCAGCGTTGGTGTCGAAAACATGCGCATGTGGGCTGCTACAGATGGTGTTGGCTCGCCATCATGAGTGCCTCGTCACAATTGGACGGACGGATGTCGTAAGCGGCGTTAAGCCTTTTTGGGGAGGTGATGCAGGGGGTGGAGGGGGAATCATCGAACGCCAGGCAGACGTTGTCTTATCTCATCAAGCTCTCTTTCAACATCGATAACCTGCTGTTTCTCTCTCCTTTCATCAATATTCACTTCTTACTCGCATGTCTGTTTACTTTAGGAAGATGCCAGAGATAGAAGAGTACCACAAACCAGCTTCACGGCTCACGGACGATGATGCCGAGCCCGGCTCCTCATCCGAAGCGATGCCAATGAACCCCCAGCCGCAGTCCGGCTTCTTCTCCGCCCTGCCGCTCGAAATACGTCAGAACATCTATCGGCACTTATGGATAGCCGCCGGATCGACGCAGCATGTCTACAAGGCCAGCCCCTCCCCGTTGGCGCCCCTCTCCCACTGCGCTTGCATCTCGGATCCGGACGCCGAAGACGTGCGGGAGATCAAGCTCACCAACGTTCTGGAAGCCCCGCCCGCGGAGCAAGCGCCGGAATGCCGAGATGGCGCCTTCACCGCAGAGGCCATGGCACAGCGTGACGAGATTAACGACTGGCGACTGCGCAACGCTTCACTGTGGTGCAACCACTGGGCATGTGAAGAGGAACCGCCCGTGCTGCGGCCTGTGGATGATTTGGTCGGCGATAGTGACGGCGATAAGAAGAAGCGGCGGACGATGGTGAAGGAGTTTAGCCCCTTTCTGGCCATCCTCCTCGCCTGCAAGCGCATGCACCAGGAGGCGGTCGACTCCATGTACGATGACACGGCGTTTTCATTCATCGGGATCGATGCTCTTTCAAGATTTTTGGAGACGACCAATGCCGAATCACTGCTTCGGATCAACACCCTTCACCTCATCTGGGCCGCCTCCATAGAATCATACATGGACCCTGAGGATGAGGAAGCCATTACAGCCAAGATGCAATGGTTTGACCTATGGTCGAAGGCTGCTGACAAGCTCCCTCGACTGAAGGAATTTCGAATTTGGATGTACCCGCAATACGCCCGATACCCGATGCCTCATGAAGAATGGTTTAAGCCTCTTCACTTATTCAGAAATGTGCCCACATATGAGATCTCATTGAGATGGTTTCAAGACCCCGCGACACCAGACACTGGGCCCTTGGATTTCTTAGAGGAGGCACCCTTCAAATATGAGCGGACGCCACCACTCGGGGAGAACCCTTTGCATTTTCATTGGCGTCGGATGATGGGACTCTTCCTTGATGAACCGAGATCTATGCCGACACGGAGGCAGAAGAAGAAAAGATATCTTGGCCGGTCGTGAGATGGTGCCTCGCTTGGATATATGATAGTGATGAAATATGAATCATTCGATGATGACACTCATGGCAATGCAATGGCAAGTGAGTTGCGAGTCGGCTATAATTGAAGGCCTCTATCACACACTCATCTCAGCTTAGGTGTTCATTAAGAAGGTTCTCCCACCGGACTTTTAACTTGCTCTCAGTGGAGATCCAATGCTACCATGGATGACATGGCCAGAACCTTAATACTTATTCAGAAAGCACTCTTCTCACGCTTATTAAGCCGTAGACGAGAGGAATTTGGTTGATTAAAGGAGCATTTAGACTTTTTCGCTCTCGCATAATCGGCAAGTGTCTTGACTCGTTTCGCAACAAGCGGGGCAACTACGACGCTCTTTACCGGGACTTGAATTACTTGGTAGTAGAAAAATTGGCAATTCTCCAGCTCCCGGTGCAACCTAATCGGACTTTGCGTAAAATACGCGGTGTAGTACCTCGGATAATGAGTCGCCGGTGATGGATACGAGTAGCTCAAAAGACACATCCACTGTCAACACAAGCGTGAAAATCCACCACCCGACTCCTACATTACAGTGACTTCCATTACAACAGTGTTTGCCGTGATAACAGGGGCCAAAATGAGTGGAATCATCTTCACCGACGTCCTGGCCAACCCTTCTCCGCTAGGACTGACCGTCTTGGTTGTCGGAGCTCTCTTTCTCTTGGCGAGACTCTTTAAAAGCAAGGCCCGGCTGTGGGACATTCCAGCTGTTGGAAATGCTACGAGCAAAGAGGCAAG